ATTCAAACCTCTGGTACCATAAAGGTCAAACCCAGTGGAAGTAACTAGAGCACCAAGAAAAGAACAGGACAGTCACCGGAGAATGAGAAGATCAGTAAAACTGGAGAACTCATAGATATTCAGTTGTTGAATGAGTTCTCCAAGTTCCAAATAAGCACTGTGGTCACAGCATTCAGTGTGTACTTTGAACCCTAGTCATAAGTTCTACAAAGCAAAAAAAAAATGCTATAAAAGTATCAGTTAGATAGCTCCATCAGTAAAGTGTTTGCCAGATAATCCTTAAGTTCTGAGTTCGGTCTCCAAAGCCTATATTCACAAACAAGGCATGGTGGACCCGTTTATATTTCCAGTATTGAGGAGAAAGAGACAGGCAGATCTCTAGGGCTTAATGGTTAACCAGCCTTGTCTAGTCTGCAATCATTGGTCATTGAAGAGGCCGTGTTACAGAAACAGCAAGGAGGATGACATCCTCAGATATGACACATGAAGTCCACCTCTGTCTCTTCATCCATGTGTACACTTGTGCATGTGCTGTGACTCATACGTGTACCCACAAACAAGTAGTTACAAATACACATATAAGGTACACAAAATATGTGATAAAAGTTTGTCCCACTGGTTTAGCGTGGTTCTTTAACAAAACTTTCTACTCTATATATCATGGATGCAGGTATATTTGATGTGTGCAGAACTGAGCGGGCGAATCAGAAATACTGTGGTATATGTAAAGACCAGAAGACAACTTTGTGTAGTCTGTTTCCTTCTTCCACATTTACATGGGCTTTGGAAAATAGAACTAAGTCACCAGGCTTGGGTGATAGGTGTCTTCTCCTGCTGAAGCATGTGAGTGGTCCCAACATCTGATGCTTCCTTATTTATCATGACTAGATCAGAGTCTTAAAGCACAAGGGTACAGTGAGAATATTTATTTACTGCCTATTGCACCTTAAATATTTACCAGCAAAATCATATTCAATGCTTACAATGACTGTGTGGGCACATGTCTATATTTATCAGTCGTTTTACCAAGAGACAGCGAAGTTCCAGCGACATCAATTAACAGACCCGTGGGATGAAGCTATAAACAGGGAAGGCAAATGTCCCATGATGTTTCTTTCCAGTGCTTTAGCACAGGATGTACTCATTTCAAAAAATCCCCCAAACAGCAATACCTTCTGCATCCCCCAAGAAGGGTGTGCAGTAGACTAATGGACCACAACCTGCATTGGCATTGCCGCATTCCAGAAGAGGTGGGTTTGTTGAGAAAATTTTAAAAATATAACATTATTTTTAAAATGTTCTATAT